ATGATTTTTAAGCATGTGATATACTCGTTTATCTACCTCATATCTATTCTGCTTAATAGGATGACCTCAAGCTCCATATATTTCTCCACAAACGACATGATTTAGTTCTACTGTGAAGGGCACCATGATGAACACACACACTCAAGAATCTCTACGGATATTAACTTCGTGGGATATCTACCTAGGAACAGTATACCAGGGTCTAATTTTAGTTTTTAGGGAATTATTATATTTTTCCACAGTTGCTAGACTAATTTTCATCCCTATTAACAATGTATAAATTTGCTCATCCCTACATCCTTTCTAGCATTTTTCTTTTTCCCCTTCTCTCTTCTTTCCTTCCTTCTCCCTTCTTCCTTTTCCCCTTTTCTCCCTCTTACCATTCTGTCTTGGATGAGAGGATTTTAAATTTAAAAAGAAACTTTTAATCATATGAGAATTCTAGTTAAATTGGCCCTCTTATCTTTATGCCACCATTGATTATTGGTTGATAATTGGTCTTTTGGAGAAAAAGAAGAGAAATGCCATCTCATGGTACTTCTACTTAGTGTTGAATATATATGCTTACCATCATTTATGACTGTCTGAGATGTGTAAGGCATGTAGGGGTGGAGGTCTTTGTCCTCAAAGAGTTCACAGTGTAGAACCGGATGTACAGTTCAGGGAAAGAAGTGTCATGGGAGAGCTTTGTGGACGGGCATCTCATTTGGGTCAGGAAATACATTCCACACAAGACAAATTTGGATTGAGAGTTAATGGTGGTTTGAATAAGAATGGTCCTCATAGGCTTGTATATTTGAATGTTTGGTCACTGGGGAGTGGTACTATTTGATTGGAAGAATTAGGAGGTGTGGCCTTGTTGGAGGCGGTGTGTCACTGGGGATGGGCTTTGAGGTTTTCAGAAACCCAAGTCAGGCCCAGTGCCTCTCTCTTGCTGACTGTGGAGCTAGATGTAGAGCCCTCAGCTATTCTCCAGCACAGTGTCTGCCTGCATACCACCATGTCCCGCCATGATGATAATGGACTAAAGCTCTGAAACTATAAGAAAGTAACAAAGTCATTCAAGACATACTAAACTGCATGTTTAATGATCAAGTGGGACTGGGGAAAGTAGTCTAGTGGGGAGGTGTTTGCTTAGTATGCCGGCTAGTTTATATCAGCCTGACTCTAAATACAGTCATTGGGAAGAAGGGAGGATCAGTTGAGAAGGTAGAATCAGTTGAGGAAAATATTTCGAAAGATTAGGCTGTAGACAAGCCTATTGGGCATCTTCCTTTCTTCCTTCCTTCCTTCCTTTCTCTCTTTTTAAAATTCTTTTAACTTTTATTGATTCTTTGTGAATTTCACATCATGCATTCTGATCCCACTTATCTCCCCGTCCCCTCGAATCCTCCCTCTACCCTTGCAACCTTCCTCCCAAAACAAAGCAAAATTTTAAAGAAAAAACAAAGATCAAACATAACAAGGAAAGCAAAGCAAAACAAAACAAAATAAACACATACAAAAAACAGGAAGACAAATTTGTAATGAAAGCTGTAGTGTGGCCAGTTGAGTCACACAGTGTAGTCCATCTTTACTTGCAAGTGTTCATTGCCACAAGTCAATGGACTCATTGGTCTGGCTCAAGGCTTCTGCTTCTCCCACACCACTGATAATGGGCTCTGATGGGGCTTCTCTTGTATATTCTGTTGTTATCTTGTGTCATGGAGATCCTGCTGTTTTGGATCTGCAGATCCATCCCCTGCACTGTTCCAACAGTTCATAGATGAGGTGGATGTTGGGGTGAGCTAACTCATAAACCTGGTTCTGGGCCTGGGTGGTAGATGGGTTGGTGATCTTGCCAGATTTCGCTCATCGTCACTACCTGGGTGAGCTCTCCAGCACTGCCTTGGTTAGCTCATCCAGTGCAGCCTGCAAGAAGGAGCAGAGCCAGTTCCGCTCTCAGGTCCTGGTACCCTGCTCACCCACACTCACACCATCAGGGCCAGCTCCACTGTCTTTCCCAGATGAGGTACAAGGCCCTCTCTCCTAATTGCCGTGGGAGCCATACAAGAGGAGGGCTCAGGGCCAGCTCTGTGGCTCTCACGACCTCAGGACCAACTCACCTGTGTCCTTGACAATAGGGTCAGTCCTAGTATGTTATCCAGGTGAGGTGCATGCCTGTGGTGAGGGATGGGGCCATCATTCATTCCCTAATGCAGAGGCCAGGTCTCCCCTGAGGGGTGGGTCCAGCTGTCTTGCTGAAGTATCCAGCAAGAGGCAGGGCCAGTTATTCCAGGGCCAGTGAAGGGTGGGACTGGCTCAGCACAGCATCTTTCTAATGACCCCTGTGTTAACACTGACATCATCACAGACCCCAGCTGCAGCAGGACACCAGCCCAGGCATGGCCTTTGGTAGAAGCTTGAGCCAGATGTCACCATGGTGTAGGTCAGTTTCTTAATTAGTGATTGATTTGGGAGGACCCAACCCATTGTGAGTGGGGTCATCTCTGGGCTGATGGTCTGAGGTTCAATAAAGCAGGCTGAGCAAGCAGCTTCCCTCCATGGCTCTGCATCAGCTCCTGTCTCCTGGATCCTGCCCTGCTTGAGTTCCTGTCCTGAGTTCCTTCAATGATGAATAGCATTGTGAAGTGTAAACCAAATAAACCCTTTCCTCCTCAAGTTGCTTTGGTTATGGTGTTTCACTGCAGCAGTAGTAACCATCACTAAAACATTTAGCATGTGCAAGGTCTTAGGTTCAAATCTCAGCCCTACATATGAAAGAAAAACTAAGATGATCAAAGGACAAGAATTCCAGTTTCTGAAAATTAGGAAGTGAGTGAACAAAGCATGGGAAATGAAGCCAGAGAGGGAAGGCAAGTCCTGAACATGCAAGTCATTGCTTGCTTTTGAGTTGGGACTTCTGTCCTGTAGGAAGTGAGAGGCTATAATATAGCCAAACGAGACATTATATACAGTAGAGATACGTGAACACCCATCTTTATTGTGGGAGTATTCATAGTAGTGGAGTATAGAGACAGCCTAGATGCTCATCAACGGATGAATGGATAGGGGGAAATGTGGTACACCTATACAGTAGAGCCACAAACATTTATTTATTTCTTCCTTCGCTTGACAGCTCTTTAATCACCAAGGAGAAAAGGGGCTATGGAACATACAAAGATTAATTGGATAGAGATTTATAGCTCATTTATAGAAAAATGATGAATGTACCAAAAGAAGCAGCTGGAATAGGGAAGCTTAGAGAGCTTGGGGCAAACTAGCTGAAGTAGAGGATGCGGCATGGTGGCCCAGGCATTTGATCTGTGAGACAAAGGGGGTTTGGGTAAGTGGGAATGGGGCATTTGGAAGCAAATAAAGTAGTATCAGGGAGACACAGAGGTGAGAACTCATTCCTGTGTCTGCACCATGCTGAGAAAGTCAGATGTTGCAACTGGACTCAAGGTAAAGAGGAAGTCCAGGAACTTTGTCCAGGGGGGTTTTAGTCAGGGAGCATTACATGGATTTTCAACATGCGTGTTTGCCACATGATGTCAATTTTCATTTGGAAAAAGAAACCAGATGTTTGTTTCTGATTTCTCTCCTTTTCATAGAGTCCAAGATCCCAACCTAGTAAATGCTGTGTCTTCCCACCTCAACCAAATCAAGAAAATGTTTCATAGGCTAACCTGAATTATAGAATGTCTCAATAGTACATGGACGTTTGGTTCCATGGTAATACTAAACCCATCCAGGTGACAGTTAATGCTAATCATCACACTATACAAAGGATCATAGGATTTGGCATAAAAATAAAAATCAAAGAAGTTGGAAGGAGAGAAGGGATTGCTAATGATAATTCTGGTTCTGGGTCCAGGTAATGGAGGCTATGGTGGGGATATACAAGGCAGAACTGTTTCCTAGCAATGGAATGAATACATTCTGGGCACGTTGGGTTAATACAGTCTGCTAGCAGAGGGGCTACAGCTGGAGATGTAGACTTGTGACTGTCTGTATGGAGTGGTGCTTGCTTACGTGCCAGAAGTAGAAAAATACCAGGGCTACTAAAGGCGAGGGTGGGGAGGGGCTTTCTGAGGAACTTAGAGTGGGGAGAAAGGACAAGAAGTCAACAGAAGAACAAGCAAGAGGGGATATAGGAAAATGTCATCAGAAAATTCCAGAAGGCAAGCTGGACAGGAGCATTGTTCCTATATAAAATGTTGCAGTAAGGTGAATGAGGAAGGAAACATTTCACTAGGGCTAGAAGAAGTTGCCACTGGATGAAGTAAGGCTAGGCCAGGTCTGAAGGCAGCTGGTGTAGATCCCTCCATCAAGAAATCTTTCAGGGAAGAGGCAATGATGCTTTATTTACCTGAATGTCTCACTCATATGAGCAACTTTTTTTCTTGATTCTTTAATTTTAAAACAAATTCAACACTGGCTACATTTTGTTGGTCACTATGGTGGAAGCATGTCTTCAGGTGAAATAGAGAATCAAACTATTAAGAGGCATCTTTCTCTTTTTTTCTTTTATTCCACTTTACATATCCACCTCGTTATTGTCACAACATCTCATCAAAATATACAAACAGCACAAATACTTTAAATGTATAGTTAGTACTTTAATCCAACAGGACTGACTGCTGCAAATAGCATGCATGGGTTGTTTGTCTTGCAGGATACCTAGAGGGACTTATTTGTCATCAAATCACCAGGAACAGCATGTTAAGGGATTGGTTTTCTTTATCTCAGAAGAATCATGCACTTCATTTCTTGTGTGATGGGGAGATGGTAATGAATGGCTACACTGATGAAGAGAACTGAGAACAGATGGAAGGCAACGTTTGATGGGCAGCGGCAAACTATCCCGTCTTTGTCAGTTATATTTACTTCTGTGTGAACAAGATGCTCCACATAGGCAACATACCCTTCCCTGTTGGTGACATGAGCTCTGCTCACTGCCACTTACTTTCCTCTGCTCTGTGAATGTCAGGGCTAGCCAGAATCAACAGATTTGTAAATCACAAGTTCCAAGCTATGTTTATTGGAGAGAATCCCATCACAACCCGCTCAGGGCTTCCCCTTTCCTTCTGCCATTTACATTTCCACAGACATGCACAGAACAACATGGGTTAGTTGTTCCTTCTCTGTGGCTAAGTGACATCCACTTCTACAAGAGGCAATCTGCCGTTCCAGTCTTGAGAAATGTGTTCCGTTTGACCCTTGGTTCATCACCAACCAGCAACTGCTGTCTAGGGCAAGAGAAGAGTTACATTTCGGATCTTTCACAGTATCAGGAACCATCTTTCAAGTAAATGACTAGAGTTAATAACGATCTAACTTCGAGGGCTGCTGTGAAAGATGCCAGGAGATACAACGGGGTGAGGTCATTAGTGAAGTAGACTTGGTTTGTGCTACAGGTAACAGGTCATGTGAGGAGGTCAAAGGTCTCCCCACCTTTGCTGTTGAGTGTTTCTTTTCTTTTCCAACTTGAAAAAGAGACCCCCCCAGAAGTGTTACTCAAACTAGTTCCCAGAGAGAAGGCAATTCCCTTCTGGTCTGGGGAGGGGTGAGGTTCAGGAGCAAACAAAAGTCTCCATTCCTGGGTTAATGAAGGAAAAGTTTCTGAACATGTTCTGGTCCATGCTGTTGATGAGTGCTCTGTCGGCAAATGACAGCCGGGGTTTCTCACTTAGGAATTCCTTGTCAAAATTACTGCAGTCGTATGGTGATTTCTTGGTTACAGTTTAAGGAGGGAGAGGGAAAAAAAATAGGGAAGAAAATTAGCCACCAAGTTCATTATCTAAGCTTTGCTTATGTAGGCTATATTGTGTGCACAACCCAGTGGGTCCAAACCCTGTGTCATCAGTTCTTTTATTAGAAGAATTAATTTCACACAAAAGAATTACTTGTACATATTTCAGTCACCCAGACTATGACAATTAGGAGTATAAGAGCTGCATGCAAAACCCCATCTGACAGTCCCTCTCGGAAACAGATGTTCAACTTGGGAATGTTCTACAATTTATTCTCCCCATAGGTGAATTTTGATGACACAGTTCAAATCTGGCAAGCAGCAGGAACACCCCCCTCCCCCGCCCCCGATCCCAACCTCTCCTCTGGTCAAATGATGCCGATTGAAGCATGTCCCCCCTCAAGGGTGGTGTTGGGGCAGGTTTCAGGAACTGCTGTTACTTGATTAGGGTGACAGCCTGTGACAAAAGGAGGAGGGCTGAAGCCAATCTGTCCAGTGGGGGAGGCCTTACCACTTTTGGCCTGAAAGGTGGGTCAATCTCTTTCCTCTCAAGTTCCTCCCAGTTAATCTCTCGGAATAAAGGATGCTGGCGGATGTCTCCTTGCACGCCTAGCCTCTTTTCTGGTTCTCTCACAAAAAGCTGCATGGAAGCAGAAAGGGAGTAGTTCACATCTCCCACAATGAGGCATTGGATCAGGTGGATATACACTCACTTGGTATGAGCAACTGGCTTTTTTTCACTGACCTCTGTGGAGATGGAATAGGTTCATAGTAACTTGACACCCTCTCTGAGTGCACCCTCCATAGTCTGGCTTCGGTCTCCTTCCCCTGCCCCAGGCAGGCTTTACTGTGACTTACACAGGCCTGGCATGAAGTCAGCTTTGCTTTGTGTTACTTACGTGGTCTCTGACAATGCATACACTCGAAGTCAGTTTCATAACCTTTGATGTAAGCTGTGCTGGTTGCTCTTAATTGTCAACTAGACACAACCTAGATTCACCTGGGAAGAGGGAAATGCAACGGGAGAACAGCCTCTGCCCACTGGCCTATGTCCATGTCTGTGTGAGGCTGATGACTGATGTGGGTGGCGCCATCCTTGGCAAATGGCCCTGGACTATCTAAGGAAGGTAGTTAAGCATGAGTCAGGGAGCAAGCCGGTAAGCAGCATTCCTCCTTGGCTTCTGCTGCAGTTCTTGTGCAAATACCTGCCCCAGTTCCCCTCAATAATAGACTATCACCTTTAAGTTGAAATAAACTTTTTCCTCCCCAAATTGCTTTTGTTCATAGTGTTTATCAGAACAACAGAAAAGAAACTAGAGCATATACCAAGTGTCTGTATCACAGGGAAGTCCTTAGGATTAAATAAAACAGTAATATACACATACACACATATACAAACATATACATGTTTATATACACATATACCTTTACATAGAGAGGCATGCAAACATGCATAAAACCACATGTATGTGGACCTAAGCATGCATGTACACATGCATGCCTATGTATATAGATATGCATATATGTATGCGTGCATAAACACATAAACACATTGCAACACCCCTCTCCACACATATTTGTTCACTGTAACTTCTGGTCTGTAAATTCCCAACAGAGTGAGTCAGGCACAGTGGTGTGCATCTGGAAACCCATCACTCTAGAGGCCAGGGAAGGAGCATCATGAGTTGGAGACCAGTGTGGTCCAGTCTGATTCAGTCTGGTTCAGTTTGGATGATGTCAGCCTGGGCTTTTCAGTGAGGTGGTCTCCTCACTGAAAACAAAACAAAACAAAAACAAAAACAAAACAAACAAACAAAAAACAAAAACCTAGAGCAGGGTGGGAAGAACCCTCAGCAGGACTGAATGAGTGATTAACTTATTTGTCTGAATTAACTGCCCTTCCAAATGTGACATTTCTTATGAAGATGCCCTATCTTAGGAGTCCAGCATTGTGGGGCTTGTGTGTAATGTCATCTAGTCCTTGACAGTCAGCTGATGTCTCATCTCTCCAACCTTTCAGCCAGTGTTGGGTACTTTCCCTCTTCAGCACCCTGTCTCCTGTCATTTCATCTAACAGTCACAGAAAATGTTGGAAAGATGGCAGAGCAACCCAGAAGCTTTTTAAATTTTAACTGGAATTATGCAGCAGGAGAGCCTAAACATTAACTCGGAAAGTAACAGGTTCCCCAGGTGCCTTCTTATTTCTGCACCAGCAAGATATCCGTCTATAAAGTCACAACTCAGGTGTTTTAAGGAGATTATGGCCTTTAAGATAGAACATGTGGCAAAATGTAGGGATTTTTCCAAGTGTTTCTCACAAGGGTTTCAGTCCCATTCTTGCTTTTACCATTTCTAAGAATAGCCAGGATATGGCTATTGAAAACCTCTTTTAGTGATATTATCTTATAACCTGAAAACCTTCAGGGCCTCTGCTATCCCCAAAATCACAAAGACATGTTGCAGAAAACTGCAAAAGAAAACTGAAGATTTTTTTTCATATTAATTGATTAACTATTAAATAAGAGTCTTTCTTAAAGTTCCAAGTGCAGTCAGGCATGGTGACACAGAGTTGCAATCCCAATACCTGTGAGATGGAGGCAGGAGGATCAGGAACAAAGGGTTAGCCTTGGCTATAGAGTGAGTTTGATACCAGACTGAGATACTTGAGGTCATGTCTTAAAAACAAGTGCCAATAGCCAGGTGGTGGCAGTGCAAATCTTTAATCTCAGCACTTGGGAGGCAGAGGCAGGCATATCTCTATGAGTTCGAGGCTGACTTGGTCTACAAAGCTACACAGAGAAACCTTGTCTCGAAAACCAAAACCAAAACCAAAACCAACCCCCAACCCCAAAACAACAACAAAACCCAAACAAACAAACAAACAAACAAAATCCCAAAACAAAACAAAAAGCAAGCAACCAACCAACCAATCTTCCAACCAACCAAACAAACAAATTACCCCAACCAAGTGCCAAGAATGAAGTTTATGCAACCATTGTAATCCACTGATGAGTCCCCAGTGTGGTCCTGATGCTGCTCTCAGCATTACCATAAGAGTCATGGAGGACTCTTATTGAGATCCTGTGGACCCAAAGTGCTTCTACACAGTGGAAGCAACCTGAGGCTATCATGTAAGAGATCAACCACATCCACATCATGGAATGAGTGATTAATCTATTTGTCTGGCTTAGGGCTCTAGTAGCCTTGGGTAAGTTTTCTGAATCTTCATTTCCTGTTTAGCCATTTTTCCATTACTGTAACAAAATACCTGAGATAATCAATTTTAAATAGGAAACTTATATGCTGGCACATGGTTTCAGAAGTTTCACCCAGAGGTTAGTTGGCTTCATGCCCTTTGGGCCTGGGATGATTCAGAATACTCAGGCAGGAAGCTGATCTCTACACTATACATCACTGCCCTCTGCTCTTCTTTTGCTGCTTCCCCACAAACAAATTGTAAGTTACACTTTTAGGGTCCCATCCCTTCTCAAAACCCAAGATAAGCATATAGTTTCTTTCAGGCTAGGAATGTCACAATGAGCGGCCAGTAAGCAACCATGGCCTTGCATGTAGCTGTAAGTTGATGAGGGTTCCCAGACAGTAAGTAAACAGTTGGTTGGACCTTGAGCCTGAGACTGGGACTATGTGCAAAAAATCAATTACTGAGAAAGTTATGTTTAACTAAGTTGCTTCTATCCTGATCTTGAATTCAGCAACAAACAACACCTAGGAAAATGATCTTATGTATTCGTCTCTTAGGGAGACCAGATACTGTCTCTAGGGGCAACCAGCCTGCTTTGAATTTGTTCTGAAATCTAAAGTTAGCTTGTTTGTATAAAAGGCTGTCTTTGTGACTGAGAATCCCATGTTAGTCTGAATAATGTAAAATATCCTGGTATAATGTAAAATATCCTGGTATTATTTCTATTCCTCAAAATTATGCAGTTTAAGCATAATCTTCCTGACTATCCATAGCTACAGTTGTGCTCAGTAGATGGAATATTTTCATGAGATAAACACACAAGCAGTAGGAATACACCCAAAGCTGTTAGTAGGAAAGAAATGAAGTGACTCATTAGAGAAATTACAGACAGAAGCAACTGGTGTCCATGCCGGTGATCCCATGGTCTTGCCAAGTGGCACTCTCCACCAGGGAATCATGTGTCTGATGGGTTGACCTGATGAACACTAATTGTCATCTGCTGTATACTCCCATGAGAGCTCTCAGAAGAAAAAAAGAGAGAAGGGTTGGGGGCTATGACCTTACAATCTCCCCAATAACTAACTTCCTTGCACTATAATCCACCTCTTACAGATTCTGTTGCCTCTTGAGCCTCTGTCACCTAGGCCTTTGGGGGAAAATTTCAGATCCAAACTACAACAACTCTGCCTATAAAATTGAAGGTTAGTTAAGGTGACTTCCTGCATCCAGAGAGTCCTGATGTCCCTGTATTTTTACTCACACTCAAGACTGTACTTTGGTGCTAGCATGTCTGTTCCCCTCTTCCAGGACAAATATGCTCACTGAATAGATCACTTGCCCCTCTCAATTTCATAATGACAATTCATTTTCTAGGGGGTTGGCTCACCTTTCTCTCAGTCATTAGTCTTCAAATTCTGCCCCAGTACTCTCTTCCTTGAGTATCCCCACTTTGACAGAGGTCAGGCAAGCTCATCTGAGTGGCTGTACCATTCATTCTGACCAGTGAGAGTCATGCTCAGGGCTAGCTGTCTCAGACAGATCCATGTGATTTGTTTTGATTATTCTAAGTATATGTATTTATGGTGTACAGTGGGATATGTTGATTTGTGTGGGATGACTAATGAAGCTAGTGAACATCCACCATCTCACTTTTATTTAGGGGGGATAATGAGAATATTTACAATCTGCTCTGCACCTTTCAACCCTCCTGCTCACATGCTGGATAGCATGTTAACTCCAGTCCACATGTTCAACAGCAGATCTTCAGAACTCAATCCTTGCATTTAAGTGGTATGTTGTAACTTCAAAATATATTAAAAAAAACAAGAACTTGGGCTAGTGAGATGGCTCAGCAAGTAAAAGACTTCCCATGCATACCTGCTGACTTGTGTTTGATCTCTGAAAACAACACTAGAAGGAGAGAGCTCATTCTCAAAGTTGTTCTCAGACTCTCATATCTATGTGTTAGCACATGACAGCACATGTACTCATGTATACACATTGTGCACACACATGCAAAAGTGACAAAATAAAATTTCAAAGAAAATAGAAATTATATCGCTGTCCTACTTGTTGGTTGAGGAAACTGAGGCTCAGAGCAGCTCTGTCACTTCTGTCATGAATCCAGCCAGCAGCAGCAGCAGCAGCAGCATGATCCCATTATGGTAGCAGGCTGTCTCTCTGCTGTGCTCCACAGAACATTTTCCAGCAGTTTTCACCTGCTGTCTGTTTTTCAAGTCTTTCTGTCCTGGGGACTGTAAGCCCTGGGGACAGGCACCACTTGAGTTCCCATTACCCAAGGGGTCTAGCAGCATCCTTTGTACTATAATGCTGCTGAGTAAATGTCAGATAACTGAAGATGCTGTATTTCCAGGTTATTTGCGGACTATACACCCTCTGCCCTCGCCTTCTCTCAGCCTCTTGTTTCCAGCTCATAG